AAGGTTTTTATAGTCTAGTTAGAGCTACAGTGTAGGCAGTTTAGCATTTCACATTCTATAGGTTCTTCTATTAGAACGTTGTCTTCTGTTTTGCTTATCTATGTTTGTTTTAGCTACTATTTAGCCTAATGCTTAGTAAGCTAATGTTTTACGCAGTACTTATTAGTGCATAAGTACTATAGGAACAGGCAATCTTTTAGATTTATGTAGACAGGTACTAGTTGCACCTGTGTCTATTATAGGTATTCTTTTATTTTTATAATCTAAAGCAGATGCTTTTTATAGCAGTAGTAAGATTCTTTATGCTACTTACTTCTATATAAGATGTAGTACTAGTTAAGCTGCCTTGTTTCTAGCTCTTTTTTAGTTACTACTAGTGCTAAGGGCAGAGTCTTAGGCCTTTCCTAGCAGGGGTTAGGTGTTTGTAATGCTGTAGGTAGCTACTTAGAGCCTTTATGTAAAGCTATGTGAGGCACCAGAGGCATGAGGAACTGCATTGAATGTATTGCTAGAGGAGTCCCTTGTAGGAGTCTATATACATGCGAAATGAGTGGGTAAGTCTTGGCAACAGATCATGGTGACGACGCATCCGACTATCGTGTGAATACTGCAAACAATTTACCTTTTTAAAAGATGTTTTAAAAGAAATTCTATTAACCCTTCTTATTTAAAATGCTATAATGTACTCTTATAATATTTAATAATACCTTAACGTACCTAACGGGTTGGCCGGCCACACGGGTTGGCCGGCCACTTTTGCCAAGCCCCCACCAAACTCTACCTATCTACATAATGCCTTAACAACAACACTAGATTAAATCTTCTAAAGAACATTAGATACAGCTTGCTCTTTAGGCTCTTAAATAAGACTTAAAACTCTCCTTAGAACGCGCTGCAGCTATCTATAATGTCTCTTACACAACACTAAGCAATTAACGCGCTAGACAGCCTTTACAAGCAGAATGCTAGCCTAAATTAAGGAATCTAACTAAGCTTAAGAAAGAGGTAGTTATTAAGTACATACTTAAGCTTATTACGCGCAAATTTCCCCCTAGGCTTGTAGCTGTAGCTAATATAGCTAATTCCTTGCCCGCAGAGCGTAATCTAGGCTAGGTTAGCTTAAACTAGACTAGTATGTAGGTTAAGCACTGCCCTAAGTTTACAATAAAGTTTAATTATAAGTATAATTATAAGAGAGCGCTTTATAAGGATCTAGAGGTTATCTAAGGCTAGTTTTGCCTAGTAGCTAACATAAAAGCTAAGTATAGTATCTAGAATAAAAACAAGTATAACTTTAATAAGTTAGGCTTTATAATAGGCTAGATATTAACTAGAGCAGTTGTTACAGCTTTAGAGAGATAAAGACAGCTAAAGGTAATATAGCAAAGTAATAAAAAGTAGACAACAGTTATCTAGGGCATTAACATAATAAAGTAGGCTATAAGATTACAAAGCTTTAAGCAGTAAATAAAGCTACTACATAACATAGATTACATAAAAGGAAGCAGATTTAGGCAAAAAAGACCTTAATAGTTAAGGATAGGGCTTGTCTAACTGCTCTAAAGGAGTTTAGAGCGCGTAGTAATAGGAAGAAGCTAAAGACGCAGGTGCGCGCTAAAGAAGGTAAGCTAAGTTAAAGGTAATATAGGCAGTGCAATTAGACTAGGCATAACTTATGTACATGTAAGCAAGTAGCAGAAGTAGACTCTAAATAATATCTTATGTTGTATTACTTTATATAAGGCTAAAGTAGGCTGTTTTGCAAGAGAATAGGGTGGTTTTAGTAGGGGCTTGGCAAAAGTGGCCGGCCAACCTGTGTGGCCGGCCAACCTGTTAGGTACGTTATATGTTTTTACATTATTGTTAATAGGTACCTTCTAAGATAGTATATTATAGTACTAGTGTTTATAATCTGCTGTGCACTTCTAGCACTAACTGTTCTAGAATTATTAGGTAAGCTTTTCTACTAGTGTTTCTAACATAGGTTATTTAAGAGGAAACCTTTCTTCTCTTTTTTATATATTTTATATGTAGTTTGTAACCTATGTTGAACAGCATAGCCTCTTATAAGCTGCAGCTTCTTCTAGCGCTAAATTAATGTTATAGTTATTCTAGACTTCTACTTCTTAATAGCTTATAAAGTAATCTATTAGTTTATAGTTTATTCTACACTTCTAATAAAGTCTTTTATTAAGCCTATTATAGATTTTGTTTACTGTTAAGCTTTTTTCTATGCTTATAGGTTTTATTACTAGTTCTAAATTTTTATTCTCTAGGGTTCTAAAGTCTAGGCATTTTTAATAAAAGTGTTCTACTTTTTTATAGTTTAGGTAAGCTTTTTTCTTAAGCCTATTCTTTTATTTCTGTGTTAAGAGAGGTTAGTTCTCTTTTTTTATTTTTAAAGCTTTTTTTTTTATAGCTTTTACTTTGCTAAGATTTATAAGTTTTTTTATAAAGTAATTTTTTTTTTTAGAGGTCTAAGTTAGTTTTTAGTAAGTGTCTTTTTTTTTAATTTAAGATCTTGTTCTTAGTATCTATTGTTATAGATAGTTGCTAATTTAATAAACTCTTCTAATTCCTTTAGCTTACTAATGTGCTTATATTTGTCTTTAATTTAGTCTTAAAGTCTCTTATAGAACATATAGTAAAGGGCTTATTAGTTAGTCTATCTATATATAGCTTATTATTTGCAGAATTTTATAGTATACTACTATACTATTTCTTTTCCTTGCTAAAGAATGTCTATTTTATTTACAGCTATTTTTTCTTTATTTACTTACTTATATATAGTTTTTAGGGCCTTTTTAAACTTCTTAACATTTTTAAAGATTTATTAAGTCTAGCTGTGTAGTTAGATTTTAGTTCTCTTATACTAGTCCTAGTTATTTACGTAGGGCTAGAACTATATAGCTAGAGTTTCTTTTAAATAGAGGCTTATCTACTTAACTATTTCTTTATTTATTTAAAAGGCTTCTAGATTGTAGCTTATATAAAGCTAGTAATAAGTAAAAAAAAGTCTTAAGTTTCTAAAGTTACTAGTAAAAAGTTTTAAAAGTGCTAAGTATAGAGACTTTTTAGCTAACGTGTTTATCTACTTATTAAGCTAATAATAAAAGGCAAAGAGTTTAACTTATAGGTTTACTACCTACTTTATAAGTTCTGCTTAAGAGACTGTTAGGTTTACAGTTAATTCTAATAAGGTAGCTTCTGTTATAAACATATTTTTAAAGATAAGAGGAATAAAATTTATACTTTATTAGGGGTAGTAATTAATGTTATAATTTTTACTTTAAAGAAATAGTTTCTAAAGTACACTAGGCTAGAGAAGAGAAATAGTGTTTTTCTTAGAGTAGAAGAGACTAGGCTGTTAACAGATGTACAGTCTATGTAGCTTTTACTTTAGGGATAAAAGAGGTAGGCTAACTATAGTTTACCCTTTAACAGTAGTATAAAGTGCTTAGGTTAAATAGTTCTAGAGGAACAAGATAAAGGTATATATAGTGTAAGATATATAATTAGTATTACTTTTATTATAAAGTAGCAATGCTACTTAGTCTATGTAGTAATAAACTAGGATAAACTAAACTTTAATTATAACTTTCCTAATAATAGTTATAACTTAACTATATACATAAAGTTCTAGAGGTTAATTGTTATTGCGCGTTGTTGCGCGTTATAAGTGCTAGGCTACTGCAGCGCGCATTAGCGCGCATTAGCGCTTAATTGTCCTTTCCTTATTAGACGTTGCACTTGGCTGTGCACTGGTCTAATAAGCTTGTCTATTTGTTGTCTGTCAGGTCCCGCGATCTGACAGTTGGGGTGACAAGGGGACTCCAGCCTTGTTCGTTCGAAAGGTGGGGCATCTCTAGGTGGTAGCTTACGATCCAATTGTGGGTTGTAACAAATAGCAAGCCTTAAATATTAATAGCAGCGCTTAGTTACTAAATTAATAACTAAAGTAAAGCTTTTAGCTCTTTCTTACACTATTAGCTACTTATAGTAGTAGAAGTAATTCTTTACTAATATAAACTTTAACACTAAGAAAAAAGCTTACTTTACTATATAATAATTAATTAACTATATAAGCTATAGTAAAAAACTTTAAGCTTAACACTAAGCTTAAGCATGTTAACATTTATAACTACTAGCTTTGCTAGGAGGTATAGAAAAGAAGAATTTATATACACTAAATCTTTACTACTAATATGCTAGCTAACAGCCTTACTAAGTTTTTACTATATTAAAAATATTTAGCTCTTATTTGTAACGATTCTACGAATCGTTCCATCTCGGGTCGCTCGGATCCTATCTGAAGGGTCCCCGTATCGGCCCCGACCATGACTCGACCCAGTCCCCCGCAGTTGCCCCTATTCCCTCATGTATTTAGTCGCACCTCGCCCCCGTAGCTAGCTCGGTAGTTTTCTGATATCCTACGTACAAGGCCTATAGGTGTCATTGGTATTCCCAGGTCTCCGAGTCCCCACGCACTCCCATATGCCTCTGAGTGGATTCATACCGCATTCGGACCCATTGTCTTGCCTGCGCCGTTACATTATTAAATAACTAGGCTTTATTTACTTAAGTAACACTTTAAAAGCTTACTTTACTAATATTAGCTTTAAAGCCTAAGCTTACTAACTTCTTTTTACTATTTTACATTTTTAAGTGTACTACTGTGCACCTATAGTCTATTAGTTATTTTTATATAGCTTTCCTTTAGTATTTACTTTGTTAAAGCTAGGGGTGTGTGTTGCACGTGTCTCACGCGATACTATACCTATGTTCTGCACTATTTACTTATTAGAACTAGCTCCTTTCTTGTACAGTATATAGTTGGCCTAGAGCTCTCTCAAGCTCCTTAAACCTTATAATACACTAGTACAATTCACCTTGTTTAGATCTCAATACGTGGTCGACTCGCTTACCCTATGATCCCTTCTCAGCTCATGCAAGACGCTGGACCTAAATGGCATGATTAACGAAATTTTCATCTTTACCTGATGGTTCAACAGTATTTAGCATCCCGGCTTCAACCCAGTCCCGCTTAAAGGATGAGTGAAACTTTCCAAAGTCATCGTAGCAGTTTACGTCGACCCCCTGATATTGAGCGAATTCGCAGTTGTGAGTCACACGGCGAGTAAGTGTAGCGTTCTAGATAAAGTCTCTTGGGGCTATTCCGTTGGTAAGAACGGTGGGAACAGCGCCCGCAACGAGGGAGAAAGCGACTCTCAAGAGAACGGGATATCCATAGAGATATGGATATCATGCTGGTAAGTTAGAAAATATGTTGTTTAAACGTTCGTGGTAGAATGTGATCAAATATGGGAATTTCATTCTTTCAATTGTTATATTTAACCGGTTTCAACTATCCCTCTTTACCATTACCAAAGTAAGGAGTAAAGGGCGAGCTATGCTCGACAAGGTCGTTAACGCGGCACTGAAACACACTCGATCTATACAGTATCGTTAGCACATTTACGACCGGGAGAGTACAGTAATGAAATGCTATCATAGTTATAATTGGCGGATCATTCCATTTTTGGTTAGAGAGAACGTTGTGAAAGAGAGCTGCTATCGCGAATCCTTCCACCGCAGCCCCGTTGCTTCGATCGTTTGTTTAGTGATACCATCCTACAGTTCAACCTTTTCACTAAAAGGACTTCCAGGGAGCGGTTGGATGGGTTTTCTACTATGAATGGAATATAGTTATGCCACTTGAACCTTCCTTTCTCCATTTTTAGCATCACCCTGAAAAGTACCGCACAAGAGGGGTGAGGAGAAATATCGCCTCTTAATTCATACTCCCCCCTAGTCGTCACACTCTACTGTTCAAGCATAATCTCTTTACTGATATAGTCTACCCATTGCGAAGGCGTCTAATCGAGATGTCGTGCATAATAGAGATTACAAGTATCCAAGGTAATAGAACTTAAGTCTATTGTGGCTTTTCGTGTAGCATCCCCAACGTAGGATGATAGAATTGAAGACGAGATCCTAATATGAATGTTTCGGTTTCCATCTCATCTCCCTATTTACGATTGATGTTACACGGTATCCAAGGCACGACTTCTGTGGGCAAATTGTACCATCATTTCACCGGGGCCAGGAGGTTAAACCGGCATCATGATTCCACTGATTACAATTTCGGGTCTAGGAAATGTGCCGTTGCAATGCAAGAGAGAGGGAATGCCGGAGAGTAAGAGTAGGCGTGAAGAACTCGGTCTTACATTAGCTGTGTGCGGTATATATATTCGTGCTGTAGACGGTAGAATCGATCGGAGCTGCATATTTGTGGAGTGGGGAAGATATTAGAAGCGTTGTAAGTGTCAGCAGCCCATCGACAACTTAACCTTTGACGCTGTAACCCAACCGCCCAGAGCCCTCGGATATCTCGGTCACGTGAGCGGTTTCCTTTCATTCCCCAACCTGTTTCCGAGCAACCCTGCTCGCTGAACCCCCTCCCGCAAATTGTTACATGACAAATGCCGTCACCTGGGCCAAAATTCACCCGCCTCGTCTTGCGTCTCCAGTTCCGCAACTCGAAACAAAGCACTACCTCGCACCACCGCCACAACAAACAGACATGGCCGACTCCAACACCTACAGAGACTGGCTGTTCATTGATGGCGAGCTCCGCCTCATCCAGCAACGTGCTCCATCTCCACTGCTGACACCACGGTCCACAGAGCGCATCGAGTTCGACCGCCGCATCGCCGAATTCCGCTCGCAGCAAGCCTGCAACCCCATCCCCACCAGGCCGGCTCACCGCTTCCTCAATTCCCTGCATTCCCTCTTTTCCCCTATCCACAGCACACCTGAGAAAAGCCTAGATAAAGTGCGTCGCGATCAAGAATTTCAATTCCTCACCGCTCTTATCGACAGTCGCTTAGCATTCACCGAATCCGCTGACGCCTTGCGCGAGTGCGGAAAGCGATATGATTATCTCAAACCTCTTTCACTCGAGCACTTGGTTTGGCTGTCCGAGTTCCCGGAGCTGCTAGACCGCTACTATGAGCTCGAAGGACGCGTCAACCGCGTCATTAACCACCGCCTTCAGCTCATTCGCACCGGCAAGATGCTAGAAGACGACTTTGACCTCGCCCTTATTGAGATAGAGCACCTTACCACAATCGAAGAGGCGAATAAGAAGATTGTGGCAGAGAAGCATGATGATCAAGTTCTCGCCTTGGTTCTGGGTACGCTGGAGAGGACGTTGATGACGGACATCAATTTGATGTTGGAGGGGGAGGAAATGAAAAAGGATGTCTTAATTACGGATAACGTGCCGCCAAACACGCTGCATAGGATTTTGAAGACGCCGACCTTGGCCAGAAGGTATGAAGACCTCCAAGCCATGGAGAAAAACATCTTCCCAAGTCGGCACTCCCAGGCCAAACAGGGAGCAGGGAAGAAGCAGGTCGAGTATGTATTTTAAAGTACGCTTGCGAAGTGATGGTGTTTCCCGCTGACACGGATTTAGAGAGAAGAACAGGACCAAGAGGGTCCGCCTCGCTGTGAGGTGAGGGGATGGGGGAAGGCTGAGGTGGAGGATGGGATCTCACCAAACCCATCTTCAGGCTCTTTTCTGTTATGGTTTCTTTCTCTAAAATAGTGCATACTAATAGCTCACCTTCAGGCTCCTAGGGGTGACCCAGGCACGACGTCGCCAATAACCACAGCATATCATCGCCCGCCGTTTACCGCCAATGAGCTAAAGAAACAGGAAATCGACTTCTTGCTAGCATTTCAAAGCCACCCAACGGGATGCCTTGCAGTCCTTGAAATGCAACTCTGGTCGCTTGCCGTCTCTGGGTCAGATCCCACACCGCCAACATCCACGGCACACTTGCGCGAATACTCGTATTATACCGGGACAAGAGATACTCGCTGGAATCCTCTTTAGACGTCAAATGTCTGCCAAGAGGATGCTTTTTCAGGCCTTGAAATGCCCCTACTAGGGGCTTTCTGTCTTAGTTCCAGAGCTGCCATCGCCGACACCCTCAGCATACTTGCGGGCAATGAAAGAAATCTATAGGGGCGAGAGACTTGGTAATATTGCATGTTAGGGTTGGTGGGAGTGGTAAAAAGATACTTCCTTAGACTGTAATACACATCCGTAGTGTTAAGGTTTTGGGAGCCCCAGAGGCATGAGGAACTGGATTGATTGCTAAAGGAGTGTACCAAAGGGTCTATATATATGCAAGGGAGTGGGATAGGCAGCAAGAGACTAAAGAGGAGGTAAAATAGGTAACTAATATAATAGTAGTGTATCAAGGGATGAAATATGTCTTCATGTGACTAGAGATCAAAGATCTCTGTAACTGCAAACATGTCGGCCAGAGTGAATGTTCCTTACATCGCCTCTGATAGGCCTCCACAAGAATTCAAGTTACGGTGCAATCCATGCGAGGAATAAGGTATGGCAGGAGAAAGGAAACAATTAGCCTAGGACACGGTATGAGTTATGAGAGAGGTAATGTATTGATGGATGATAAGGCTGAGGGACCAAGAGGTAGAAACAAGCGAGAGGAGCCAAGCCTTGAGTTGATTGGGCAGCCTTCCAGGTTACGAATGCTATTCGGAGACTACTTGGGAGATGATTGGAAGGGAAAGGAGATGAGTGCTACATACTACGATTGCCTCGGGATCTGTGGGATAGGCACTTCTATCCTAGGGGGCATGGAAAAGACCTAAGCTTAGAGCAGATGCAAGTAGTTTAGCTTTTTCAAGGAGCACTCTAAAAACGATAGAGGTTCCCACCTGCTTACGCAACCGACTCGCTTATGCAACACCAAAACTAGAACCACACACCAACTTCAAAAATCAATAACTCAACAACCATGATAGATCTCAAGGAGATAATTAATTCAATCAATTCAGCAGACTCAGGCGCATCAAAGGAGGCCCTATTTAAGCTGAAACCTCATTGTTCAACTGTGTAGCGTCGCGAAAAAGGAATTACAACCTCCCAAGCAGATGGCTACAAAAAGCAACGTTTGCTCAAGGCGCAGGACACCAAGACTCTCATAGAGCATATAAATCGTCTAACGCTTCAAGGGCTACCACCTACTAAAGCCATAGTTCAAAACTTCATTAGAGAGCTCTCTAATAGGCCGCTAGGCAAGAACTATATTTAGAAGTTTCTTAAGCGCAACTCTCATTAATTAATGTTAGCCTATCTCAGGCCGTTTGACATTAAGCGTACACGAGCTGATAGCCCTGCATGGATAGCACCTTTCTACAACTAATTGGGTGAGAAGATTAAGCAGTATGACGTACAGCAGCACAATACGTACAACATAGATAAGAAAGGCTTTCTGCTAGGTATCCTTTTAATGCAGGAGCAAATCTTCTCTAAAGAGCTATAGGAGAACAGCTACTTAAAGGGTTCTAGCACTAACAGCAATCGCGAGTGGATAACAGTGCTAGCGTGTATTTGTTCTAACGGCTCCTACCTACCCCCAGCGCTTATCTACCCGGCCAAAAATAAGGCCTTAATAGACTCATAGGTTCAAGATTTTAACCCTAAAAGGCATTAGTGCTACTTTACTAGTACAGAAACTAGCTAGACAAACAATTAAGTAGCAATTAAGTAGGTAGAGAAAGTCTTTAATTAAGAGACTAAGGCTAAGGCTTGCTACAGCAGGGATTAGAGGCTCCTAATCCTTAATAGCCATGGCTCGCACGTTACCCTAGGCTTCCTAGAGTACTGCACAAAGCGTAGGATTCTTGTTGACGTACTCCCTCCGCATACTACTTATTAAACACAACCTTTAGATTGGACCCTTTTTAGCCCACTGCAGAGCTACTATTCTACAGAGCTAAACAACCATATGCACTGTACACAGGGCCTCTTAGCACTCACTAAACGCGACTTCTTTAAGCTATTCTACACTGCATAGGTTAAAGCCTTTACAGAAAAGAACATTCTATTAAGATTTAAGCAGTGTGGCATCTATCTTCTTAATAAGAGCATTATACTTAGCAGCTTTAAAACAAGGCCTCTAAAACAACCATCTAGGCCTCAGAGTAGCAGCTCTGCCTGCTCAAATCTCTTAGTAAAAGATAAGAAAAGAATTCAGCAACTTCTTTGCTTAGAAGTTAGTACTACTACTACTAATGGCCAACTGCTTAGCAACACAGTTCTCCACCTTCTAGATACAGCTATCCTTTTAAGAGATAAGGTAGCTGATCTCTGCGCAACAATAGTATTAAAAAAGAAGAAGGGGAAGCGTGGCAAAAACCTTACAGAGCTCCTACGTGCTAAGGATGAACACAATTAACTATTCTTTAGCCCAGCTAAGGTAGCACAGGCCAAGGAGCTTTAACAACAAAAAGAGGATAAAAAATAAGCTAAGATTAATCACAAAGTAGCTAAAAAGCTTAAGCAACAGCAGAAGAAGGATAGCAAAGAGGCTGCAAAGCAATTAAAGAAGAAGATTTGTGAGAATAACAAGCGCATAAAGGACGCTAAAGCAGCTGCCAAAGCTCTACTCCGCAAGGAAGAAAAGGTAGCTCAACAGCTCAAGCTACAGCTCCAAAACAATACTTAGTTTACTAAGAAGACCCAAAAGAAGCGTACTATCAAGAAAACTACTACGCGACAGGAGATAGTTGAGTACTATGAGGTGGTAGATGATGAGGAAGGTGTTGCAGGGCTATCTCGGCCTCGGAGGCAACGGCGTCAGCCAGCTTACTTGAAAGACTTTGAGATATATGAGGATTTATAGCCCTACTCACGACGATCGTTACACTCGAAAATTGACTGAGATACGATTTATATAGAGCTCTGCAGCTTCATTTTTAGGTGATCGATAGTACGGAGATTTCCGTTGCACGAGCCACTCGGTTGCACGAGCGGGTGGGAACTTCTAAGTGAGAACAATTCCGCTTGCTGCAATTGCCTCGAGCTGAAAGGGAAACCCGGGGGTGCCGTAGAAGGCTAGGAAGCATGGATATGGACACGGTAGCTTAATGAGAAGACGCCGAGAATACATGAGATACTGATGGGGGGTAGTAAGGAAGGGAAAAGGGCCAGGAAACTTTCACACAGCGATCAGAGAAGTTGGAAATCAGGAACATGGATAGGGCAGGAAGACTACTCCAAACGAGTTGCTGAAATCCTGCAGAAAGACCAGAGAACGGCTTCTGCCAAAAAATTCGCAATTCGAAAGAAAGCCCAACCATCACCGGCGGGAATGTCGTTCTCATCCCCGTCTGCCACCGCCTCATCTCCGAAATCTTGCCACCTTCCCAATGCGCCTAGTGCGAGTGACCACGCTCGTTTCTGAGCCAACCACGCGCGACACGCGTTCAGCCTTGGGGCTGCGCGTTGGGCTTGGCGGATAGGAACCAGCTTTAGCAAAACATCTTTCCTGATCAGACATTAGATTCTGGTGTCAGTTACGAGCTATAAGCCGTACAATCACCGTATATGAGGATGGAGGGCCTCTGCAGTCAGGGAGAGCTACATCGTCGCTCGTTATGTCTTCTCTCCTGCGCCATTTCGTCCTCACGGCTTCGGCCATATCTGCGCTGACAATTGGTGATATCAATGGGAACAAGTTCCTTTCGCCGTATAATGGCCAGGCTGTATCTAATGTGTCCGGGATTATAACTGCGAAAGGGCCAGATGGACTGTGGATTCGTTCTCTAACACCAGATCGCGATCTGAGGACTTCCGAGTCGATTTATGTCTTTGGGAGAGCGTTTGGTGCGAATTTGACTGTGGGTGATTCGATTGTGCTCGGTGGAAAGGTCCAGGAGTTTCGCTCGAACAAAGACTACATCTATCTCACGGAGATTAGCTCGCCGAAGCTCGAGAAGAAGGTTTCATCTGGTAACACGGTGAAGGCTTTAGTCATCGGCAAGGACACTGCCGACCCTCCCACAGAGCAGTATACTGCGCTCGATGGAGGCGACGTCTTCGCAGTTCCGAACAATGTCAGCCTGGTATCGGTTGCAAACCCAGTCCTCGATCCTAAGAAGTACGGGCTTGATTTCTGGGAGAGCCTGTCGGGCGAGTTGGTTACTGTGCGGAAGCCAAAGGCCATCGCAAAACCTAACAACTTTGGTGATACATGGGTGATCGGGGATTGGAAAGTATCAGGTCGGAATCAGCGAGGAGGGTTGACACTGTCCGATGGTGGTAAGTCTATCTTCGTGTCTTGGAGGCCTAACTGACAACGTCCAGATGCCAACCCGGAAGCCATTATCATCGGCTCCCCCCTTGACGGCTCTTCAAACCCACGGACGACGAAGCTGGGAGATGACCTTGAAGAAATTACCGGCATCATCACTTACGCCTTTGGTTTCTACCGTATCCTCCCCACTACCGCCATCAAAGTCACTCTTTCTATGAAACCAGACCTTCCACCTTCGACGAAGCTCCTCTCATCCGGGAAGTGTGATGGAATTACCATCGGTGACTACAATGTGGAGAATCTCGCACCAAACTCAACTCACTTGTCAACGATTGCCACGCACATCGTTTCGTATCTAGCATCCCCCGATCTTGTCTTCCTACAAGAGATCCAGGATGACAACGGACCCACAAACGACGCAGGTAAGGCGTGCAAAAACCCTCAGAGATTCGCTTTCTAAAAAATATAGTCGTGTCGGCAAATTTAACCTTGAGCTCCCTTACTAAAGAGATCGCTGCGGCGGGAGGCCCATCATACGCCTTTGCTGACATTGACCCCGTTGATGATCAGGACGGCGGCCAGCCGGGCGGGAACATCCGGGTAGCCTATCTGTATAAACCGACACATCTCCGTTTGTATCAGGGGAATCCCGGCACTAGCACTGATGCAAACGAAGTCCTACAAGGCCCGACACTGAAATACAACCCAGGCCGCATCGACCCAGCAAATAAGGCCTGGACTGCGAGTCGCAAACCCCTCGTCGCCCAGTGGGAAGTCATTGACAAAGGAAGGAACTCTAAATTCTTCACTGTTAATGTGCACTTCGGATCCAAGGGAGGGAGCAGCAGCATCCAGGGTGATGCAAGGCCGCCTGTGAATGGAGGCGTCGCCGACCGTCTGGCACAGGCTCAGCTCACAGCAAACTTCATCAAGGCTATCCTTGACGAAGATCGAAACGCTCGGATCATAACTGCAGGTGACTTCAACGAATTTACGTTTGTTGAGCCGTTGAAACAGTTTGCACAGATCTCAAGCCTAAAAGATCTAGATGAGGTGATAGGGATTAAAGAGACGGAACGTTACACGTATCTATTCGACATGAACGCCCAGCAGCTTGACCACATGTTTGTGAGTAACACACTCACGAAGAAGGCCAGGTACGAACATATCCACATCAACACCTGGGTCGATAGTGCGGCACAGATAAGTGACCATGATCCGTCGGTGGCGAGGTTGGATGTGTGCGTCTGAGTGAGTGCGAAAGCAAATGACTAACAAGTTGAACGAATGTGAATACGAATGCAGTCAGTCTCCTTGCATCCCCTGCGTCTCGACGTTTTACCATCAATTCGATATTGCGGCGCAGTGAACCGTCCTCCATTCGGAGCCTAAAATAAAACAGGGTGAAAAGCCATCGGAAGGTTGCTGAGATGAGATGAGCCCTCTCGTGGTGATTGGCCCCCGCCATCCAACTCATATCTCTGCTTCTTCCCTCTAAGCCCTGCCCTCTGTGATGACCGCGCAGGACCAGTTCGATAATTAGTCTTCCACACTCCTGGGAGGAAGTACATCGCTTGGATAATTATCAGCTGAGGATTGCTTGAGCTCAGGGGGTGGTCTTCATCCGACCGTTTCCAAAAGCGAGTCAGCATCATCCTGGCCATCATCGGTCAACGTGTAGACTGGTCGCTGGGGTTCCCATTGCCTCGGTCGCCTCAACACTTTGCTCTCCGATAACCAGCAACAGAAAGGTCCACAAAACGGGTTACAGGAAAGTGTTCGGATCGGCTCTCTCACGCTCCGCCTGCCCAGCGCCACCCGAGCATTTCCTGTCGAATTGCCGTCTGCGCGGCTTCCATTTACCCGATATGCGCACCTCGGCGCACGTCTGCGGCGGCAAATCCTGCTAATCTCGCTCAGAGAGCCTGAGCGGGAAGTGGTCCAGGGAGTTGAGATGGACATTGGCAAGTGGAGAGATCTTAGGGTGCCAAGCCGTCCAGATTGCTCCGCTCCGCGAGCCAGGAATGCGGGGGGCCGCCGCTGGATGTCTCCACTTCTGTAACCCTCAACACCAAAAAATTCATCGTGACAATTTCTCCTTGCGCTGTAGAAACCGCAGTTCCTTCCAGATTTTTGAGGGGCTTTTTGGCAAAGCTTCTTTGCTCCGTCGCACGCGGTGGCCCCGATCTTCCTGCACCTTATCTGTCTACCTGTGTTCGTGGGCGTTGTGCCAAGGTCTTGGGTGGCGCTTTTGGATGGTCCTCAAGATAACGCCCAGCAATCTTCTGAGAACTTCTACGCCGCCCCGTGCGTTCTGGAACACGACTTTCCTCAATCTTCTTCTTGGCCCGATGCACTCGGTGCCTAAATCTGACTCTCACAGGGCAGAACACTTTCACTTTGCGATGTGTGTTCCGAGATCCTGAAGGATCGAGAGGGCAAAAGTCAATCTGGACCTGCGCATTTGTATTGGGCCGGAACGGTGATTCTGAGAAAGGTGCAGGATTCTGTCCGCTGCCTTGTGGCACAGCATATTGTCAGAACCGTGACGGCGACGTGGTACGGCGTTCCATAGTGCGAAGTGTGGTAGAGACACACGCTGACATTCTTTTCCCTTTCTGGATGGCAATAGTCAGCCACGCTCGGACAAGACGGGGCAATGGCCAAGGTTGATCCAATGCTCGTCCCATCCAACCGTCCCCACGGGGTCCCGATAGGCGCTAGTGAACCTTGCAATATCAGTGTTGGCAAGCATGGCTTGCAAATTGGAACGGAGCGCAAGTATAGATACCCTGTGTTGCACCCCCCCAGAAGTCCTTGCTTTAGATATCTACTTGCTCACCACCAGCACCATGGCCGACGACAAAAATTCCGGTCTCGAGGTCTTCGAGAAAAGCAACATCAACCAGTTGAGCGATGTTGAAAGCTCCCGAGGGGTCAGTACGCCGAAAGACTATGATGACCTTCCTGATCCGGACGCGGGTATGTCAGACGAGGAGAGGGCAAAGTTGGTAAGTACGGTAGTGTTTTAATCCATCTCAAGTGTGAACTAATGTCTTCTAGGACAAAGCCCTTGTCTGGAAAATTGATATGTGGTTGATCCCGTGGCTATCTCTTTTGTATCTTCTGTCCTTCTTGGACCGAACGAATATTGGCAATGCACGGGTTGCCCACATGGAGAAAAATATCGGCATGGTTGGTCGCGATTATAATAATGCGTTGACTATCTTCTTCATCTCATACGCGGGAGCCGAGCCGATCACCAACCTTCTCCTAAAGCGATACACCCCTCGAGTCTTCTTCACAACCATCATTTTCGCTTGGGGCGCCATCATGACCGTCATGGGTTGCATCAACAATCAAGCTGGCCTCTTGGCTTGCCGTTGGTTCCTTGGTCTGGCTGAAGCTGGTCTCTTCCCAGGCGTCAATTACTACCTTTCGTAAGTTACAAAAACATCCTCGGCTGTGTGCTAGAGTCTAATGACCGCAGTTGCTGGTATAAACGTTCTGAGCTTGGTTTCCGTGCTGCGCTTTTCTTCTCCGCCGCAGCTCTGGCTGGTTCTTTCGGCGGTCTTTTGGCTGCAGCCATTACCCAGATGGACGGCGTTGGCGGATATGAGGGCTGGCGATGGATCTGTAAGTCGTTCGCACTGGAATACGTCGACTCTCGCTAACAATCGCTAGTCATCCTCGAAGGTCTCATCACCGTCTTTGTCGGTATCTTCTGCTGGTGGATGGTTAACGACTTCCCCGATACTGCTCGCTTCCTTACTCCAGAGGAAAAACTTCGCACGCTTCGCCGATTACAAGCCGACAACCAGGCTCGTGCCGAAACCGAGAAGTTCAGCCGTAAATACGTTTGGGCCGCTTGTCGGGACTGGAAGACGTGGGGATACGCCGTGTGCTACATGGGATGTCTCTGCCCATTGTACTCTTTCTCACTCTTCCTTCCAACCATCCTGCTCGGTATGGGCTATCAAGGTACAAAAGCCCAGCTCATGTCGGTCCCACCTTATGCGGTTGCTGCCGTAATGACCGTGTTCATTGGCTGGCTCGCCGACCGCACCAGGTGGCGGGGATACTGCAATATGGCCGTCTCTTTTACTGGCTGTGTTGGCTTTGCCATGTTGCTCGGTACTACCAATGTCCATGTCCAATATGCCGGCACATTCCTCGGGGCGATGGGGATCTATCCAACCGTGTCTAACACACTGACCTGGGCATCCAACAACGTCGAGGGTGTGTACAAACGTGGCGTCGTGGTCGGCATCATAGTGGGCTGGGGCAACATGAACGGTGTCGTTTCCTCGAACATTTACATGCCCAAGGAAAAGCCCAAGTACACAACCGGTCATGCGACAGTTCTTGCATATATGATCGCATGTCTGCTTGGGGGGTCCATCTTCATGCACCTCATGTTGCGACGCGAGAATAAGCTAAGGAAGAGTGGAAAGAGGGACCACTGGCTTGAGGGCAAGACAGAGGAAGAGATACGCATGATGGGCGACGTTCGGCCCGACTTTATATACACATTGTAGGAACCGGCCGGATGGAGAGGTTGGAATGACCGTGGAGTGATGATGACGGAAATAGACATGGGTTTTAATGATTTCGGTGCGCATGGCTCGTAATCGGCGGCTGCTGTCGGATAGAAGCGATAGAATATCCTCTGTGCATAACCCCTCGGGAATTAGACGATGGAATTCTGCGGAACTCAAATTTGGCGCGCCCTGTTGATGATTCTGGCATGACCTCGGGATGGATCGATCGCCATTCGTCAACTTGGCCTTTCCACATGTCCGGATCGACGGTCTCCTTCCCAATTGAGCGATGATGACAGGGGTTCATGAGCCTGATCACAAAACAGGTGAGATCCGTGTATTCCTACTGTGTAGTTACAACCAAAGGTGTTCTAGGCTTTAAGTGGCCTACTATTGCACAAAAGCAAGTCTTCCAGATAAATAATTAAACTAGAAATAGTAATTCGGTAATTTCAAGGCTGATTGCAAGCTAGGCGTAAAAAGCACAATGGAGGCGCTAATGTTTCCTAAAGTGAGCTTAGTTTCTTCTGGCTCGGAACTGGTACTTGGGAGGTAGAGGATGATTCGGTATAAGGCAGCCCTAGGATTCACCTAAGGGAGGCGACAGGGTGTACCAGGTGCTGCAAGGTGTGCAATCGGATGAAGTGTTGCCCTTGGGAAATAGTAAGGCCTCTGCAGGGAAATGAGGTGAGGGCGAGCATGGTGCTGAAGAGAACGAAAAGAAATGATGATGGCGAGGGATTTTATGGGCATCTCAGGTGGGCTGCATGATCTTGCCTCCTTTCATGGCTCACAGGAGTCATTCTGGGAGTATTTTGATTATTCATATCCGGTTCGTAGTTTCGGCCCAATCTAACACTAGTTGGTTTGCAATACTTCCTGGGGTATTATCCTCTTTCATTCCCCAAAATCACCGTATTTCCGATTTCTCCTCACGCCTTTCTTAACAAGATATGCAACAACCTTGTCTGTTCTCTTCCGAAACTGAGCTCGCGCCATATATCCCAGCTCTGAGACGTCCTGAAATTGGCGTGATTCAGCTTCATCAAGCGCATTCCAGCCCTTGTTGTTGATAAGAAACCATTCTAAATGGCCAGCGTATATCATTTCTAGTTTCTGGATAGCATAAATATTACCAAACCGAGCAGCAAAGTGGAGCGGAGATTCCCCCGCCGCAGTGAGGCAATTAGCCCACGCTGGGTTGCAAAACCTAGCGAGGACCGTGTCGACAATTCCACGTGCTTCGTCTTCAGGAGCCCGCTCTGATTAATACATGCATTAGGGTGCGTCACTAACTAGACGAGCGAAGGATATAACATACCTATAGGCACTCCGCAAACACAGTGTAAAACTGTTACTCCTTCATTATCTACCTTGGGGGGCTCATCGACAGGTCCCATCAGATCCAGGAGATAGAAAAGCTGATAGCGCTTTTCTACAGCCAACCCAAGTGAATTGAATAAACAGGTGCTGTCTAGAGAATAAGGGAATCGGTAAACTAGAAAATCAGGCTGATAGGCTGCGAGGACGTTCGCCGCATCGAAAAACTCCCCAGCGACAGCGATGTCAAAAGCGGTGGACTCAGTCTCGTCTCTCTTATTAACGTATTCGGTAGCTGCATCGAGGGAACATGTTCGCTCAACGAATTGAACTAACGCGCGAACAATTTGTGGAGAACCGGATACTGCGTAGAACAGTGGCGTCCACTGGTTGTTTTGGTGGGATACGCAAGGATCGACTCCAAGCTCGAGCAAATACTCGACAATCTCAGTCCGGTTCCGCACAACTGCCGCCATTAACGGTGTATACCATTCTTCTGTGGACGGGCGCCATTCGGTGAACTGATAATTCGGAATAAGCTTGGCTAAGCATTGCACTACAGCTAAGGAAGCTTTGGCACAGGCAAACGTTAGTACGGAGTGGCCGGTGATATCCTGAAAAGAACAGCTAGTCTCCTTGTCAATGAGGAGCTTAACCGTCTTCTCTAATTTGTCGACGTAATGTTCTCCTCCATTCACTAGGACCTCGTAGTTGTCCATTTCTAAGACGAACCATAATGCGTCTGTCTTTCGCTGAACAAGCATCTCCGGCGGAACGTAGTGGAGAACAAGCTCGACTAGATCAGAAGAGAGTTGGCATGAAGCGTGCGCGAGGCAATCGAGTCCATGGTAGTCTTTAATGAGTGGATCGGCGCCCAAACTCAACAGTTTCTTGGCTGCCTCCACACAGTTAAGTCCATGTTGGTTCAGGATAAAAGCAAGCGGTGTTTGTTGTCTGTCGCCGTTCTGCTGGTTGATATTTGCTCCCCATTCTAAGAGCATTTTTGCAGCCTCTCCTATTCTATCCTGATCAAATCGGACTAGGTGGTGAAGTTCGTTTGCTGCAAAGTCGTCCCAACTCTCTGGCCTGTTCTGGGTTACCGGGAATAGGAGGACGGCAACTTCAAAGTGGCCAGCCTGACATGCCATGAACAGTGGCGTCTCTCCATACTCATTGGTGACGTTCGGATCCGCGCCCTTGTTGATTAACAGTTGAACCGTATCGAAGCGGCCATTACTGGCGGCGTAGTGTAACCAAGTCATGCCACAAACAAGTCCCGGATAGTCGTGCAGTTTGTCAATATTCTGCCCTTCTTCCAAAGAATCTTCTACGATGTCATCGAGATAGCCGAGTGGATATTCATTCCTCCACTGCTCACCGAAGCAATCCTGGCCGTAGCCACAGTAGGTTGTCTTTAGGATTTCGAGGACCCCGGGATACATCTTTGGATAAAGCTCTTTTAGGCTGTACTCCGCCAGTTCTTCACCCCCATAGCAAGCATCAACTAGCCAGTTATACAGCGAATCGATGGGGATGGGTTCTTTGAGGGCCGAAAACAGACGATGCACCGATGCTTTCGCTTCCGTGGAACCCGCATTGGCCGATTGGAATAGCCAATCTAATGCTATGGACTTTGAGTCCGGACCAAGGAGTCCTGAGATAAGTGCTCTGGAGAGCCAAAAGAGTCTCTGCGCGCCCCGCTCTACCGCAATACAGTCTGCGCTGTTAATTTCAGATATAGATCTGGTACTCCAATTCGAGACGATATCATCAGAGGCAGCCATCATTAAGTCTCGATTCCAGCTTGCTAGATATTGGTACTGATAGTTGGTCGGTTACAGTGCGTATGGGAGCTTGATAGAGGGTACTAACCTGAACGTGCTCATCTGAAGATGGGTCGTCTAAGGGAAGCAGAGGGACAGGCGCATAGTGTCTAGGAGCAAGTATCAGCCTTTCAATTTGCTATAACGTCCAACCAGAACCTAAACTTACGCAAGAGTCCTTTCAGCGTCGTCGCCTGTGGTGCTTAATAGTATCCTAATTTTAGATATGTCTGCCCTATCCTTAGGTGAGCTATTAAGAGTCAAGTCGATGATCCGTGCGAAGCAATTCCATTCCATGCTTTGGATATCAAGCCAGGAGGTTACAAATTGTTTGGCCTGCTGAGTCATTGCTTGCGTGTCGTTCTTTAACGAAGTTATCCTGTCGAAATCAAATGTCCTATCTGAGGTATCGAGACGCAAATCGGCGAATATATCTTCACCAGAAGCAGCCAAATAGCAAGCCAAGAGTCCGAATCCATACACGTCTACTTTAGAAAGATTGGTAAGCAAGATGTCTCCCCCTGCCTCGGGCGCTTCCCAGGGAGGAGAGAAACCAGGCAGTGAGACATGCTGTGCCAGGTCGTCAGGGGCCTCGGATTTCAAGTCTTCGGTGAGACAAGCAAACCCAAAATCTGATATTTTGGCTCGAAAAGTATCCTTCGACACTTGAAACACTAGAATATTATCTGGCTTCAAGTCTCCATGAATGACCCCGCAGCTATGCAGAGCCTCCAACCCAGACGCGATGTCTAAAGCTATCGACAGTGCAAAAGCAGGTGACTTTATCGATGAATCAGCCAACTCGAGAAAGTCTTTCAAGGATCCACCATCTGCTGCCTCCATGATGAGGACTGGCCATCGCCTACCAAGCTCGTCCTTGTTTCTTTCCCAGCTGAATCCTAAGAGATTGACAATATTGGGATGAGACAGGAAGGGCTTGTGAGCGAGAATCCTCATTTCTTGCACCATAGATCCCAATCTCACTCCGTCGCTGTTCGTATCTTTCACCGCTATTAGCTCGAGGTCTTCCGGTATCACAGGTGCAATGTGCTTAGCGACAAGCCATTGCCCTTTCTTCAACTGCGAGCTAGTTCCGACTCTTTGCTTGATATCCGGTCCTATGTTTCCAGGGTCAATGTCAAAAAAGCGGACGTCGAACGAGGCCCCAGTTGCTACAGCCTGGAGTAACGCCCGCTTGAAGTAGATATATGGAAGGTCCAGATGGTCCCTCGCCAGCTTGATGAATTCGGCTGGCCCAGAGACGGAATGGGATGAGGTGTTCCGTGTTGTCGTAATACGCCTTCGGATAGGAGTAAGTCCCCACATAGTAGACTTATTGTTTTAATGCGCTGAGTATGGGATATGAATCCACGAAGGTTTCAAGAGCCAGTGCTGCGAATATAGATGTATTGATGAAGAACTACGAAATATCGCAGCCTGCTCCAGGCCTTGCGCGACTTCTGGTGTCTGTCTCAGCCTTGCTGCGCTGGGTTACATTCGTGGGGGCTCAAAAGATAAGCCGCCAATTAGAAAAGTGGTGGCTTCTCAGCCTGCTGCAAGTTGGTACAACTCAATCTTAGTTAACAGTTTGTTGTTTTGCCACGTTCCCTCGGTTGCTTGTGGAAGCTATACTGCAGTACCATTCAAATAGTGGGCGAGATCCGCCATCCTCACATTTATCGCTTTGGGTTACTGCTTTTCACCTATAACATTTCCCCCTTCAGCACGATGGCTCAAATTGGCATCGCCACAGGGATCATCACACTCCTCGAAAAATCACTGGCGTTTTATCGCGTAATCGCTGCAGCCAAGAATTTTGGATCCGATGCAGCACACTCAGTAATGATGCTGCGATTCGAGGCATTTCGCTACCAGGAATGGGCTCGAGAGAATAAGAACATCACAGCCATATTTCAAGACTCATCTAATGAAGATACCTCTCGTCGACAGACACAAATGATTGGCCTTACCCACGCCACCCAGCCCATTTCACCAGTTGCCACGTTCCGCGAAGCACTCTGCGATGCTGTCACACAGATCATCGAGGTTCTCCGGTCTGTAGATAAGCTGCTGACCAAGTATAACCGAGCTTTTGAGGCCCGAGAGGAATCCAATGACCCGATAAACCTTGGGGTTGAATCTATTGTCGTTGGCCCGGGATTACTGCAAGACGAGATGCAGAATGCCGCTCAAAAGTATAGTAGGCTAAAGGAGTCTCTGCAGTTGAAGACTTCGTTTGCCCGCAGAGCCAAGTACGGCATCCAAACATGGAATGATGCCGATAAGGAGACTTTAAAGGATCTTGTAGAGCGCTTTAAATACTGGAACGACAGCATCCACCAAATCGCGCCACCTGAAAAACCGAACCTACAGGAACTGAGAATGGCAAGCCAGTTGGTTGTCTCTGCCAGATCATCCGCGCAGCTAGAGAGTGTTCGAGAAGCTGCTGCCGAGAGCAGCTATAAGTCGGTTTCTAGGAGCGCCGGCCTAAAAATGAAGATGGGTGAAGCGTTTAGAGACCCAGGTTTAAAAAAGAACTATGCAGATGTCAAGATTGACACCAAGATCGCAAGGAGTCGTCGTTTTCTTACAGAATTTTATCCTGAGGGTATGTCTGGAGCGAGGACACAAGTCACCCCGAGGAGTCCCGCTAATTTTAAAATTGTAGGCAATTCAGGGTCTCCTTCATCAATACGAACGGCCACGCAAAGAGTCATCACTGAATGGTACTACTACGACTCCAGGTGGAACGATGACCAGGCGAAACTGGCTGATGATAGAGTTGAACGCCTCGCACATCGATTTTCTGCCTCTGAAAAGCCCGTGAATCTCCATGTCCTTGATTGCGTTGGATGGATTCAACATCCCAGCAAACGTGACAGAGCTCTTCTTTATAAAGTTCCGGACAACTCTGACTGCGTGAGCCAGACGAGCCAGCCCGTTACCCTGCACGAGCTGCTTACCGCAAAGCAAACACCGACCCATGAGCGACTTCCATCTCTTGGACAACGCTTTAAGCTCGCGGCTGCTTTAGCGGTCGGTTTCCTCGAACTTCACACCGTCGGGTGGATACATAAAGGATTCGGTAGCCATAACGTGCTCCTATTCTCTGATTCGAAAGGCAAGGTTTGCTACGACAAACCATTCATCTCAGGCTTCGACTTTGCCCGACCCGATACTCCAAGGGAGGTGTCTCTCTCCACACGAGTGTCAAAATTCGACCTCTACCGTCATCCAGAGATTCGAGAACTCAAACCATCCTCGGATATTACGAAGCCATCCTCCTCACATGCTCATGACGTATACAGCCTGGGTCTCGTCCTCTTCGAGATCGGCATGTGGATGCCACTCGAATCCTATACGAAGGCAAACTTGAGTCCTTTGGACTTTCGCACACGGATTCAAGGCTATGTTGCTAGGGATCTCGGGCTCTGGATGGGTAACCGCTTTAGGGACGCTGTGCAGTCGTGTCTGTCTGGTGAATATCTGCAGAAGTCAGAAACATTTTCGCTAGGGGAGACAGAAGAGCAGATTGAAGACGCAGAAGATCTCGTGGATCCTGCTACTTCAGATCAGAGTATGACACGCATTCGTCAACTTGGTTACTTCTACCACTTTATTGTAGCAGAAATACATGGCTGCCAGTGCGAAGTAGGGGAGCGGTAAATAGATCCTAGTATCAAGGTCCTGGGAGGAAAGATTTAGAATAGAGGCAAAGTGAGGACCCAAAGATTGTCCCAAAGTCCCGATCTTTGCCACATCAACAGTACTTGGTCATTGTGTTAGCTTATGAAAGGATGTGCCGGCGGCTTCGTGACGACGCTACAACGGAAGTAGGTGTATTCTCTATCATGATATCAGGCAGATAGTTATAGGATAGAGGATAGAGGCGAGGGGTCAATTAGGTGGCGAGAGCTAAACCAGGTAGATTGAGCAATAGCGTGGGTTTCGAGGAGCTCGAGAGGCCCCGAGGTGAATAGGAAGCTTATAAAGAATCTCTGCCCCCAATAAGGAAAGCACTAATTAGTCCTAATAAGTCACTGGCATGGCAAGTATTGTAGCGTCGCATGTGACATCCTTCTGTGCACCAAGTCAGAGATGTCAGCTCAACTCTACAGTGCTAAAATTAGAGGAGAATATGGGGTATCACGAAGGAAATCGGTTCGCTCATAGTGCAAACTCGCGTCATAATTCGGCGGAGACTGCGGATGTCAGGCATTTTATCGATTGGACATGTCCCAGCCATTCCCAATGTGGCTCTGTATCAAAGCCTCCTTTCTACGATACAGCTAAGTGTCCTATCATGGCTGATTTACCGATGCAGTCAGCCAATCTCCCCGAGCAACACCCTCGTCCATGCGGTGGCTGTGCACCCACAGCCTCATCCGGCGCGAGCTAAACTATTTCGGGTCGAGTTTGCGACCTGTCAGCGTTTGCCGCACCCTCTTTGCCAACTTCGCATGACCCACCACTTTTCGTTGCTTTCGCGGTCTAATTTTCATCATGGTGAACATAGGTAGACCATCCCGTGCTTGTCTTTCTTGCAGGCAAAAGCGAATTAAGGTGAGCTCGAAACCCCTCGACTAACTGACTACAAGACTCACCTCGCTGATATTTGAGCTCCTAGTGTGATGAGACTAGACCGACTTGTAAAAGATGCTCGAGGCTCAAGTTGGAATGTGGGTGGAAGGACGAGTGGACGTCGATGGTGCGCCACCAAGAGAAATGGGCAGAGTGCAAGGTAGCAAAGCGTGTCGAGAAAGTCCAGATGAAACGGAACCAGCGCCACGTGCATCGCAAGCCTGACTTATCCTCATATGTTGCAGCCCATGCCCTCAGCATGTCGAAGCAGTGCCAGATTGGCCCAGAGGTTTATGCTATCAACCGCTTTTATTCCGATTATGCGTTTACGGAGGGGACCTTTCCCTTCCTGCATCTCGTGGCGCCCTTATACACCCTTGAGCAGACTCCAGGTTATCTGCATAGTGCCTTGCCTGCAGTAGCACTAGCTAGCTCAGCTAAGCAGCTTAATCGACACGATATGATGCTAGAAGCGCACCGGCATTACGGGAATGCTGTGAGGTCGCTGAATAACAGCTTGCCGGATACCTCCATGGCGAAGCACGACGCGACTCTCCTCACAGTCTTCCTTCTTGGTCTCTACGAAGTATTCAAACCCCCGAACTTCATTTTCTATTCCCCGTTAACAGCCTCTAGTTCATCACGACGGATCGCCTTCACGGGCTTCCTTCGCCGTACCACACCCATGGACCCGGGCGTCTCGCTCTCCTCCGACTCAGAGGCCCCGAGCAACTTGAAACGATAACAGGTCGTAATCTCTTCACTTTACTCTATCATGATCAGCTCATCTCGACCTTTCTCGGTAATGGAGAACTCATGGACGAATTTCCAGCTTGGATGCACCGCTCTTATCCACCCTCACCCATGAAATCCATGAAGCTATTAATGCATGAGATCAGTTGCCTTCTTTCTTGCTTAAAGAAAGTACTTTCAAGATCGCAAACAAAGGCCACAACCCAGATGGCACAGATTCGGAAACGCGTCTCAGTCTACCAAAGTGTTGACGACTTTGACCATAATGCTTATCTCGAAGGAATCCACAACGACTGGCCATTGGAAGACACAGAGGCAACCGATTTTGTTTTGGATATGTATGAGAAAGCCGATACCCTCCTCCCTTTACTACGAAAAGGCATTGTGGTTAACGAAGCCCTTGGAAACCTCGATCTCCACGTTCAACCTGGCTGGCCTGATGATAGCGAGGTTACCAGTCACACAACAGGGAAGGATAGACCGGCAGACCTGGATGAAATATTACCGCAAGATGGTATGCTAGTAGAAGACGTGTCGGTCTATGTCGGGATCTCGAGAGCAGTCACTCTGAACGTATATCGGGCGATGCAGATTCACCTTCTTCAAACGCTTCTCAGTGCCCTACCATCCGCCATCACCCTTGTAGGAAACTACCCAAACGCTGAATTCGACTTTGCCAGCCTGCACGCTGACTGGACCACAACGATCGCCCACCTTGCACGTGCCATCTGTAATGACATACCTTACGTTCTTGGCGAACGTGACAAACAAGGACGTCGACTAAAATCCCCAGTCTCTGGGCGAGCCTTCCGAGCGTACTTAATGTTGTGGCCTTTGCAGGTATCCTTGGATGCTAAAGAGACATCCCCAGAAGACAGGGCGTTAATCGCCAGACGCCTGAGGTACATTAGCGAAATAATTGGAATTGGAATGGCAGGCGAGATTGCTTCCGCGGCGACAAGCGATCTAAATATCGGTTCACTAGACGATCAACTATTACCAGTTGCTAGCAGCATCGACTCCCCCGAGGGTCTGTGGTCAGAGGCTGCCATTGAACCAGCGTTGAACGCGGAGCAAGTTCATAACCTTCAATCGGTATTGTGATAGCTGCATGTCTACGAAGCCGGGATTTTGCAATGGAAAAGGTTTAGATTTCTATCGGACATACCCATAAGTCTTGTTACTTCCACCTAGTCTTTTTGTTTGGCCTTTGCATGACATAGCCCAACTACATGGCTTTCTCTGAAACTCACGCCATCATCCGTTGCTACCTGTACTTCAGTTCAGAGTCCTGCCTAAACCAAAAACTACCGTCGCCAATGAGAGGACAACGATCGATGTGCGGCAGAAATCCGAACGCTAAGGTGTGGAAAGTGGCCCTTGCATATTTCAAGTGCTCCGTTTTCATGTCCAAATCTTCATCCTTTAATGGGTAAATGGATTCAATGTTCGCAATCCGTGTTTACAGGCATTTGGACAGTAACAACAGTTTCGAGAATTTCTCCACGAAGCACACCCCGCCCACGCGAATGTCCATATGACATATTCTTGGCATGGTCACAATCCTGGCACCGTGAGGCCATGATTGATGGATCTAGAGAGTATGAAATGGAATTGTGTACATGATTCCTCGAAACACTATCCTCGCTTCTAGGATTTCGATCAACGATTTGCTTGCCCATTCGCGGAGATTTCGCAACGCCGGGTAACACCCCTGTCGGAAACGTGTGTTCCAAACAACCATCGGTTCTGATTAATATCCGCGGGCCTTAATGTCAACTTCGCTTTCGTCACTCTTTAGAATAGAATTATACAGTTAAACCCGAGATTCTACTATCTACTTGCACCGATTCGTTAACAGCGCCTTGACACTCTCGCTACGATTGCACTCCTTCTGCGACGTCCACACTATTCTCAAATATGAAGGTCTTTTCTACACTTATCTTTGTCTCAGGGCTAATTTCCACCGCACTCGCACATTGGAACTACAACAATCTCATTGTCAACGGCAAAGTGGTCGGATCTCCATACCAGTACATTCGCCCTACAACCAACTCTAATTCCCCGATCACAGATGTGGGATCAACCAACATGCGCTGCAACCAAGGTGGCGGTTCCGGAAGCTCCACCCAAACTTACACGGTGAAAGCAGGCGATGAAGTTGGCTTTGGCATCGCCGATGTCTTTGGCCATCCCGGCCCGCAGCAGGTCTACCTTTCGAAGGCTCCGAGCACCGCGGCAACCTACGACGGGTCTGGATCGTGGGTAAAAATTTACTCCCTTACGACGAGTAGTATTGCTTCAGATGGAATCAAGTGGGCAAGCGACGGTATCAAAAGCTTCAGGTTCACGCTTCCATCTTCGACTCCGCCGGGCGAGTATTTACTTCGGGCTGAAGGTCTCGCTTTGCACGGCGCAAGCACCAAGGGCGGAGCGCAGTTTTATATTGGATGCGCGCAGCTGAAGGTTACCGGTAGTGGTAGTGGAAGTCTTAACCAGTCTGTGAAGTTCCCTGGCGCGTACACTGGGAGTGAGCCTGGCATTCTCATCAACTTATACTGGCCGACTCCTACGAATTATACAGTTCCCGGCCCTGCAGTATGGCCGTCAGACACGGAGCAGCACTCTGTAAAGCAATTGTAGATCATCAATGAATATATTACCCTGTTTCCACCTTCGTCATATGCTCTGGCTATCTGGCTGTAGGTTTCCTTGGTGCTAAAATGACCTTATACTTCTGATCGGGCTTCAAGATGGTAAATTCTTTGGTCCCGAGTATCAGCCCTTCGTTCTCTAGCTTAATATCATACCTCAGAAATAGTTGCGCAATCATCTTCATGATAAAGCTTGTTGCGACATTCCGCCCAATGCATTGTCGACTCCCATACCCAAATCCCAAAAAGCACGTCTTCATCATGGCTAGATCGTTTCCTGAGTCCGTAGACCACCGATTTGGATCCCACTTATCTGGGTTCTTGAATACCGTCGCATTGCGGCCGATGATCGCCGCAGGCACTCCAACGGCAACACCACCTGGGATGTAAACCCCAGCGATCACAGCACCCTGGGATGGAGTGTCGCGGGGCATGGCGTATCCAATAGGTGGGTGAAGACGGAGGCATTCAAGCTCAGCGTGTTCGAGTAGGCTGAGCTTATTTAGTGTTGTAAAAGGAAGTGGCCTTGCTCCATCCTTGTTCTCCGGAAACATGCCTTCGAGTTCGCTGATAATGAGATCTCTAACGTCTGGATTCTTGGAGAGGTAGTATATCATCCAATTCATCGTAACACTGCCTGTACTTGCACCGGCGACCCTTCCCAATGATTAGTATCAAGCTTGGCATCAAACAACTTCAACTCTAAGGATTGAGCACAACTTACATTAACGACGAAGTCTCAGCCCGGAGTTCGTCGAAATCCATCTGCCGACCCGTCTCTGGATCTCTTGCTTCAATAAAGCGCTGCATAATATCCTGGCGCGGCCTTCCACTCGGTAGCAGCTTCTTCCTCTCGTCGTGAAACCGTTTCTCTAGCGCAACTCTGGCATACTCCAGGTATTCCAACCGCGCCCTGTACAGACGCTGGATATTTGGCAGCGGGAACCAACTCAATACCTTTACATTGAGTTTCCCAAAGGGAAGCAAGCCGCTATGATTAGCAAACCGCTGCGATTGCTCCACAAGCGTGGAGTACCTGGCCGGCTTTGCTGCATCGAGAACCCCGAAGTTGTTGCCCAGAGCTAGCTCACCCATCAAGTCCATGGTGAAGAGTTCGAACCAGAAGTAAATCTCACAAGGCTCCTGGGTGCTCGCAAACTCATCCATCCTCTTTACAAACTTGTTCAACGTGAGATCAATGAACGGCTCGAACGAGAGCAGTGATTGTGCGCTAAAGCTGTGGGCTACCATTCGTCGCTTCATGGCATGTCGCTTCTTCGAGCGAGTGGAGAAAAGCGATTCTCCAGTCGTCGAGAATGCGTCATACCAGCTGGATTTGCCAAAGCCTTCACTAGCTTTTCCGTGGCCTAGGTTTCATCAAGAATGAGCGCGGATATACACAGCGCAGAAATCTGGAGCTCGTAACATACCATAGATGGCCTTTATGGCATCCGGATGGTTGAATGATACCGAGGTTGGACCGGTGCGAACAACTGCTGCTCCGGGATTCTGCTCAAACAGGCTACTTACCCATTGTGTCCTTCGTTGCTCTTTCAGAGCATTGGATTCCAAGATGCTGCTTATTCGCGTCGACCACGGCCCTGGGAGTTTTGCTAACGGGGAGAATAGGAGACGGTAGATGATGAGACAGATTGGGTATGCGACGGCGAACACCGCGATACCCTTGAAAAGGCTCGTTTGAGTTAAGGAGAATGATTGCACAATCGCCATATTGGGAGTGAGTTATTGAAGCTGAAAAGACCACAAAGGCATCCTCTGTTGTGTTCAAGACGCTTAACCGTGGCACAGATGCCCCACAACTCAAAATGTGATTCCAGCACATGTCGTATTTGGATCATCAGTGAGGTCTTCTTCGAGTCAGCAGAAGGCGGGCAGGACGCGGGGCAGCTCCGTCTCCATCCATCAGTACTTGAATTGTGGAAGCCCGCGAAGCTAAATAAGCGTCGAAGCCCCACATCCACAGGCGTTTAATGATGCTTATTCAACATCTCCAAGTGCCGCAGAACGGTTCGTGATGCGTGTAGTATTCGATTAAAAATTATTTCTCGAGTCCTGACTCCTGACACTTGATACGGCGGGAATAGCAGTCTGCACGTGCCCGTCTCATCCCTGCTACCCCACATGTCTCCACACCTCCCGCGAAGCCGTCCCAGGTAAAAGCGCACAATTTCCCTCCATTTGCCCCCATTCACCAACAACCCGGTTTCTGTACCACAAGTATTGGCATTGAAAAAATGAAGGGAACAGCCCCTGACATTGAGGCTGAAGCGGAAATCGCACACCGGGAGAAGGTTGACCTGCCGTTAGGCTACGAGGATCCGCACAGGGCCGCTCTCGAAGACAATCCGGATGACCCTGAAAAGCTAACACTGCCTGTTATTCTGTCTGCACTATTCCTGGGCACCTCATTCACCGGGCCAATCATTTTCGGCTTTATTTTTGTAACTCCAATTCTCGTCCAGCTCTCGGAGAAAATAGGTGGCGAAACCATTGATTTCTGGATTCCTTCAGGATGGGGTGCCGCCGCTGCTGTGGGCTTTTCGATCGCCGGCCGCATCTCGGATATTTTTGGACGCAGATATGTTATCCTCTTTGGCCAATTTCTCACCGTCGTCGGTGGTATCATTGCTGGCACTGCCAATTCGATGAACCAGCTAATAGCTGGAGAGGTCATCCTGGGCGCATCAATTGGGACTGTCTCTGTTGCCTATGCGGGTGGGTTTGCTCGACACTATATTCTTCATGATTTCATCGTTGACCTCTACATCTACAGGGCTATCTGAGATATTGCCTAACAAATATCGTGGCATCGGGTTGGCGTGGACTGAGCTCAACCTCGCTAGCTGGGCTATTCCAGGCACTCTTCTCGCCAATGCAATGATCTCGAACGCTAGTTGGCGCATCATGTTCTATATCGCCATCGGTTATGGAGCCTTCTCCCTCATTGGCACCTTCTTCGTCTACTTCCCGCCGAGCCATCCTCGTCCCGATGGCAAGACAAAATGGGAAGAGTTTAAGGAGCTCGACTTCATTGGGGCTGCTATGTTTGTAGCTGGGCTCGCCGTGTTCCTCTTTGGGCTTAATGCTGGTGGTAATACATATCCCTGGGAGAATGCTGGAACCCTGGCACCACTAATTCTTGGAGCAATTGTTTTCCTCGGAGCTTTCGTGTACGACTTTATGGTCCCGCAGGACCCACTCTTTCCCTGGTATCTATTCAAGAACTTCCGTGAGTTCTCGGCGCTCATTGTGCTTGTATTCGTGGCTGGCATGGTGTTCTTTGCTGCTTCTGCCCTAAACGCGCAAACAATTCTATATCTTCATACCAGCGACCCTATCAAAATAGGTATATACTCCATTCCGTCGGGGTAAGTATTCCAAGAATTGCAGATCATGTTACTTCGAAGGCTAATAATTTCCAGCGCGGGCCAGCTTGTCGGCAGCGTTCTCATCCCGGCCCTTGTTCACTACATCAAATTCGTCCAGTACCAGCTCTTCTTTGCAAACTTCATGCAAACGCTCTTCTTCGGCTTGGCGGCACTTATCACCCCAACAAATATCAACTGGCTCATGGCAGTGCAGTTCCTGGCCATGCTGCCTTTCGGATGGATAACATTGCTCTGCTATACAACCGCATCGCTGAATGTGCCGCAGCGCGACCTTGGCGTCGCAATTGGACTGATCGGTACATTCCGCTCCATTGGTGGCGCCATTGGGTCTGTAATATTCTCCTCAATCTTCTCTCAGACAGCCGAGAAACAGGTTGCGCGACGGGTTGCGGAAACAGCTATCAGCAATGGAATCTCATCCGATACGGTTGGTGAGCTCGCTGCATCGGTCAAACTGACACTCCTCGGCGTCCCAGGACTGGCAGCAAAGTTCCCGGATGTTTCTGCTTCTGCGTTTAGCGCCTGCCTTAGGGCAGCCAGGTACGGATATGCGTATGGCTTTCGGATTACCTGGCTGGCGTCCATCCCGTTTGGCATTGTAGCTACCTTGTGCGCGATTATGGTCAAGGATCCGTCAAGATATTTTACGAACCATGTCGAGGTTCACTTGGAGGAAAGATTTGGGGCGAAAATTAAAGAGAAGGATGAGAAAGAGGCGAGGTGAACTATTATATGGAAAAATCAGCAGATTTTATTAGCGACATCTCACTGTTCGCGCGTGCCTGAGTTTTGATGCATATAGAGGTTGCGTGATCATGCAGCTATGTTAGAAGCTTGTGAAGTGAAGTGAATTGTTCTAGTCTAAGTGCTCTGCTGCAAAATATTTATTTACATCTATAACAGGAGAGGCAGCAAGAGCAATAGCAATAGCAGTAGAGGCTATAGTAAAAGTAGTAGAGGCTATAGTAAAAGCGGTAAAAGCGGTTATAGCTTAAGGAAAGAAGATTTCTATGTGAGAAATGCAACACACCCCTTTAAATAGCTCACGTAATACAGTGTTTATATACTATATGTGAAAAAAAGAAGAAGAATTATATATATAGTAGAGTATATAATATAATTGTAAAGCATATATACTATTCTGTTTACAGGATCTACTGTTGGTTGATTATTCGCACCTTTCAGTTGTATCAGTGTAACAATTCTCAGGAATTGTTCCATCTCGGGTTGCCTAGAACCTATCTAAAGGGTCTCTATATTAGCCCCAACCCTAACTTAGCTCTACCCCCTACTATTACCTCTATTCTTTTAAGTATTTAGTTGCACCTCTTCTTTTAGCTAGTTTAGTAGTTTTCTAATATTCATTTATATTCAGCCTATAGATGTTAATAATATTCCTAGGTTATTAAGTCTCTACGTACTTTTATATACTGTAACGGCACAGGCAAGACAATAGGTTTGAATGCGATGGGAATCCACTCAGAGGCATATAGGAGTGTGTGGGGACTCAGAACCTGGGAATGCTATTAACACCTATAGGCCTTGTACAAAGGATATTAGAAAACTACTAAGCTAGCTACAGGGGAGAGGTGCAACTAAATACATAAGGGAATAGAGGTAACAACAGGGGGCCGGGCAGAGTCGGGGCCAGGTCGAGGTCGGGGCCGATACGAGGGCCTTCCGGAGGTTCTGGGCGACCTGAGATGGAACGATTCATAAGGATTGTTACACTACCCCCCCCTCTGTAGACTAATAGTCCCTATTAGTAGGTTAAAGTATTACTGTTATGTCCTCTGCCTTCTTAAACTAAAACTAGTCTAATTTAGCTAAGTGTCCTTGCTCCAAATTATTCCTTTGCACTGCTAGCAGTGTCCTCTAAACTAAAACGCTATGCGTGTGCACTTACTCTAATAGTAATCTAAATTAATGTTAAGTCTATCTGTAATAAAGGCTTGCTATTATTTAAACATAGGTTTTTTGCTATCTGTAAGAATCTTAATCTTAGGTGTGCATTTAGTAAGGTGAATTCTATAGGTCTAAGAGGTGCCTAAAAGGTCTCTTGCACTTAGTGTAGTAAGAGTAGTATAGGGCGTTATTAGGGGTAATTTAGTAGTTAGTAGGGGTTAACTAGCAGCTCTTAGCTAAATTAGCTGCTTAAGTTATGCTTATAATTAAGCAATCTAATTATTAATAGATATACTGCTAGAGGTTAACTCTAAATTAGGTAGGAATATAGCTTTAGGTGCTGCAGGAGCGGGTTTAGCTGTTAACATAGATTGTTAATTAACTCTAGAGGGCTTGCCTTAGCTAGAGCGTATTTTAATTCTAGAATTAGAGGGTAGTTAGTTAGACATTAGCAGTTGCCTTTAATTCTAATAAGTTATTAGTAGTCTCTAAGTCTCTACCTTAGCGCCTCTTTACAACTTTTCTAAAGGCAATCTTAATTATAGAGGATAGGAAGTTCTAAACCTAAAGGCTTTAGTTAACTAGAGGTTAATAGAATCTAGTCTATATAACTAAGTAATTTAATGTAATAGTGTAGAGGATTATAACTTAAACTATATTAGACGCGTCTTAGAGCTTAGACATAGTTAAATAGACAATTAATATAATATTATTATAAGGCTGTTACTAGCAAAAGCAAGTTTTCTAATATAATGTAACAGCACAGGAAAGACAATGGGTCTAAATGCGGTAGGAATCCACTTAGAGGCATATGGGAGTGCGTGGGGACTCAGAACCTAGGAATGCCATTGACACCTATAGGCCTTGTATAAAGGATATTAGAAAACTCGCTTTCGCCGGTGACAGCCTTGTAATAATATCGCATCGATTGTCTGTTTGACTACGTCCAAGCCCTGAGACGCGTCCGATTCAGTTTAGGTCGCGATCCTCCACACCGTTACATATACCTCTAAGTAGATTCTTACTATATTTAGATTTATTATCTTACCTATGCTGTTATATTATATTAAAAAACTTACTTTTGCTAGTAATAGCTTTATTAATGATATTATATTATTTATGTATTTAACTATGTTTAATTCTAAGATGTGTTTAATTTAGTTTATGTAAGGCCGGATGTCCTAGAACAGGCTAGTATAGCCTCCCCTAACCTGTTTGGAGGTCACATGACCTGTGCCTTGTATATAAGCATGAATCCTAACAAGCGAGGCTTGGCAGCGATTCGTCTCTCTTACAATACACTCCTATGTTTCTTTAAAACCTTGCTTCTAGTGCTATCTATGCTACCTACTATTCTATCTTTATAGTTTAAGTTATAATGTTTATACACTATTAGATTAAATTATTTAGTTTTTAATGTTATGAATAAAAATTTTAACACTTTTTATTTTTTGTAATTAAAATTACTATTAAAAATCTTATAAAAAGTGCGCTAAAGTAGAAACTTAAAGACTACTAATAACTTATAAAAATTAAAAATAACTACTAGTGCTAAACTTTTAACTACTCTTAGACTTTAGTATAAAGTTTGTAACATACTTTAGCTATAGCTAAAGTAAAATACTTACTACTAAAGCTAAATAACAACTAACTTTAATAGCTAAACTTTTTTTTATAAAACTTAAAGTTAAAAACTTACTAAATTTAAAGTTAAACTATAGTAATATAGCTTTTAAAAACTATATTACTTAATTAAAAGTAGAAATTAAGTACTTAACTAGATTAAAAACTATTAGTCTTAATTAACTTTTACTAACTACTAAATTACTTTTAATAATACTTTAAATTATGTTTACTACACTAATAGTAAAAAACTTTTAGGCACTTTTAAGCATTTTTAAAGCTATTTTACTAAATGCATGCCTAAAATTAAAAACTTTATAAATAGTAAAAAACTTATATTTAAATAATACTATGCTTTTATTATAAATAGACTTGATATTAATTTAAATTACTATTAAAGTAAGCGCACACGCATAGTGTTAGTATAGAGACACACTGCTAGTATTACAAAGAAATACCTAGAGCCTAGATACCTAGCTAAGTTAGATAACTTTTAATTTATAAATATAAAAAAAATAATTAAGCTTTTATAAACTTACTTTATTACTAGTAATAAAAAGTAAAAGTGTAATACTTTTTTTAAACTTTAAAAATAAGTAAAAAAAGTGTTTTTAGCTTTTAAAGATTTTTTTATTAGTACTACTATTAAAAAGTTTATATTAAAAGTAGAATAGATTTTCTACTTATAAAAATAAATACTACTTCGCTTAAAAGTACTAAACTTAGGTTTTTAATATACTTAAAAAATTGTTTTTAAGATTATAGTAGCCTACTTAATAGCTTATAATATAAAAAAAAAGTGTGATAACAAGCACTGTCTCTACTACTGTATAGAGCTAGGGAAGTATAGCAGAGTAGGTTAGCTCTATTTCAGCTAAACTAGGATAGGGAGTAAAGGAGGCAGAGGGTTTTTGCAAGAGAAAAGCTTGCGCAGCGCTAAGGCGCTTGCTTAACCCTTAGCAAGATTATGTAACTAGCAGTAGAGCTTAACAAGCAGCACTGTCACATTACCCCCCTCTAAGGCAGGCTTGTTCCTAAGTCTATAGTTACGTATAATAATAACATGTATAGCGCGTTCTCTAGCCTCTATTATAGTCCCCTCTACTAGCAAGTTCTCTAGGCTAGTTATTCTTCCTTGTTGCCTCTAGGTCTTCTTCTGCCTTATACACTTATAGCTAGGCTTCTAACTGCGCTAGAGGGCCTAGTTTATTTAGATATACATTATAAAAGTCTCTTACTTTATGCAGAGCTTTTATAAACTTTTAAGTGTTATACTAGGTAAAGTTAAAGTTATAGGCTACCTAGAAGACCTTATACTGCAGATAGTAGTAGTAGAGATAGCTATTAATAATTTTTTATATAAGCTATTTAAAGTAACTATTAACATTAATAAGCTTTTTTTTAAGTTTAAGCTAGCCTAGCAGCGCTATTAGTAATTCCTTTTATAGGCAGTCTATATAGAAGACATTGTGCATGTGCATGTATAGTAGTAACTTTAAGCAGTACAAGTAGCTATTTATACGTATAATAAAGTATAGTCTATATATTTAGTAGTTAAGCTTTTAACTAAAGTAACCTAAAGTAAATTTTTTAAGTATTATATACACTTTATTACTTACTATAAAATTTAGACTATGTTTTTTTTATTTACCCTAGTTACTTATTACTACTAGGCTTATGTAATGCCTTTTTAGGCTATCTCTATAGTAAGCTGCACTGTGTTACGCTAAGTTTTAGTATAGATTTAAGCCTCTTTACATAACATTTACTTATATATAAAGATTAATTACTTAGTCTGTTCTTTTTAGTTTTATTAGTAAGTTAGTTAGTAACTAAATTTAATTTTAAATAGTAATAGTCTAGTTATTTTATAAAGCAGTGTAGCTTGTGCTTAATCTATGCATAGCAGTAGGTCTAACTAGTTATCTTAGTAGTAGTTTATAAAAGAGCGTAAGCGCTAGTTAAAATACTAGTTTAGCACCTTTATATTACTATTTATTTATAAGTAGTAGGGTGTAAAAAGCTTCTACTTAATTTTTATAAGTTAGTAAAGTTTATTTATAAACTTTAAAGTAAATTAAAAGCTCTAATTAAAAATAATAGACTTTAAAAAGGTAAAAATTTTAATAAAACTAGAGATGTATATAACTATAAATTTTAACACTAACCTACTTTTTATAAGTATAATTTTAGACA